GGGGGCAGGGGTGAGAGGCGTGAGGCATTAGGGCGAGGGGAGAGTTGGGGTGGGGGCGTTGATGGTACTTTGAGAATTCTCGAGAGTTGGGCGAGGGGATAGTTGGGCGAGGGGAGGGTTGGGCGAGGGGATGGTTGGGCGAGGGGAGAGTTGGGGTGGGGGCGTAACTGGGTGACATATGAGTGGTCGAACTTGTGGTTGATGGGCTGGGTAATGATGGCGCCCTGCACTCCCGCCTCGTCCATGCTCTGTGTGCGCGTGCGTGCCATGGGGCATGGGGGGAGGGAGGGATGTAGCGTAGCGTGCATGCATGGCGCATGGGGGATGGGGGGATATGGAGTGAATGGCACTTGGGAGATAGATGCAAAGGGTGGTGGATCAGCGAGGCGGGCGTTCATGGCGCCATGATCAGCATCAGTCCATGTGGGTGATGATGATGATGATGATGATGATGATGATGATGATGATGATGATGATGATGATGATGATGATGATGATGATGATGATGATGATGATGATGATGATGATGATGATGATGATGATGATGATGATGATGATGATGATGATGATGATGAATGATGATGATGATGATGATGATGATAATGATGAGATTATGCGTCATGCCTTGCACGCATCATGCCTTGCACGCATCATGCCTTGCACGCATCATGCCATGCACGCATCATGCCATGCACGCATCATGCCATGCACGCATCATGCCATGCACGCATCATGCCTTGCACGCATCATGCCTTGCACGCATCATGCCATGCACGCATCATGCCATGCACGCATCATGCATTGCACGCATCATGCCATGCACGCATCATGCCTTGCACGCATCATGCCTTGCACGCATCATGCCTCGCACGCATCATGCCATGCACGCATCATGCCATGCACGCATCATGCCTTGCACGCATCATGCCTTGCACGCATCATGCCATGCACGCATCATGCCATGCACGCATCATGCCATGCACGCATCATGCCATGCACGCATCATGCCATGCACGCATCATGCCTTGCACGCATCATGCCATGCACGCATCATGCCTTGCACGCATCATGCCTTGCACGCATCATGTCTTGCACGCATCATGCCATGCACGCATCATGCCATGCACGCATCATGCCATGCACGCATCATGCCTTGCACGCATCATGCCTTGCACGCATCATGCCATGCACGTTGCACGCATCATGCTTTGCACGCATCATGCTTTGCACGCATCATGCCTTGCACGCATCATGTCATGCACGCATCATGCCATGCTGACTGCCAACTGAGAGTCCGCAGTGTGGCACGCATTGTGCCATTCCATCGCACATATAATAAACCTCTGCACCACCCTTGCCATCCCCCCATCATCATCATCATGATCATGGCGCATGGGGGATGGCAAGGGTGGTGCAGAGGTGTATTTTATGTGCGATGGAATGGCACAATGCGTGCCACACTGCGGACTCTCAGTTGGCAGTCAGCATGGCATGATGCGTGCATGGCATGATGCGTGCATGGCATGATGCGTGCAAGGCATGATGCGTGCAAGGCATGATGCGTGCAAGGCATGATGCGTGCATGACATGATGCGTGCATGGCATGATGCGTGCAAGGCATGATGCGTGCAAGGCATGATGCGTGCATGGCATGATGCGCGCATGGCATGATGCGTGCAAGGCATGATGCGTGCATGGCATGATGCGTGCAAGGCATGATGCGTGCATGGCATGATGCGTGCATGACATGATGCGTGCAAGGCATGATGCGTGCAAGGCATGATGAGTGCAAGGCATGATGCGTGCAAGGCATGATGCGTGCAATGCATGATGCGTGCAAGGCATGATGCGTGCAGGGCATGATGCGTGCAAGGCATGATGCGTACAAGGCATGATGCGTGCATGGCATGATGCGTGCAAAGCATGATGCGTGCAAGGCATGATGCGTGCATGGCATGATGCGTGCAAGGCATGATGCGTGCAAGGCATGATGCGTGCAAGGCATTATGCGTGCAAGGCATGATGCGTGCAAGGCATTATGCGTGCAAGGTATGATGCGTGCAAGGCATGATGCGTGCATGACATGATGCGTGCAAGGCATGATACGTGCAAGGCATGATGTGTGTAAGGCATGATGCGTGCAAAGCATGATGCGTGCAATGCATGATGCGTGCAAGGCATTATGCGTGCAAGACATGATGCGTGCAAGGCATGATGCGTGCAAGGCATGATGCGTGCAAGGCATGATGCGTGCAAGGCATGATGCGTGCATGGCATGATTCGTGCAAGGCATGATGCGTGCAAGGTATGATGCGTGCAAGGCATGATGCGTGCATGGCATAATGCGTGCATGGCATGATGCGTGCATGGCATGATGCGTGCAAGGCATAATGCGTGCAAGGCATGATGCGTGCGAGGCATGATGCGTGCATGGCATGATGCGTGCAAGGCATGATGCGTGCAAGGCATGATGCGTGCAATGCATGATGCGTGCAAGGCATGATGCGTGCAAGGCATGATGCGTGCAAGGCATGATGCGTGCATGGCATGATGCGTGCAAGGCATGATGCGTGCAAGGCATGATGCGTGCAATGCATGATGCGTGCAAGACATTATGCGTGCAAGGCATGATGCGTGCAAGGCATGATGCGTGCAAAGCATGATGCGTGCATGGCATGATGCGTGTAAGGCATGATGCGTGCAAAACATGATGCGTGCATGGCATGATGCGTGCAAGGCATGATGCGTGCAAGGCATGATGCGTGCAAGACATGATGCGTGCATGGCATGATGCGTGCAAGGCATGATGCGTGCAAGGCATGATGCGTGCATGGCATGATGCGTGCAAGGCATGATGCGTGCAAGGCATGATGCGTGCATGACATGATGCGTGCAAGGCATGATGCGTGTAAGGCATGATGCGTGCATGGCATGATGCGTGCAAGGCATGATGCGTGCAAGGCATGATGCGTGCATGGCATGATGCGTGCAAGGCATGATGCGTGCATGGCATGTTGCGTGCAAGGCATGATGCGTGCAAGGCATGATGCGTGCAAGGCATGATGCGTGCAAGGCATGATGGGTGCAAAGCATGATGCGTGCATGGCATGATGCGTGCATGGCATGATGCGTGCAAGACATGATGCGTGCATGACATGATGCGTGCAAGGCATGATGCGTGTAATGCATGATGCGTGCATGGCATGATGCGTGGAAGGCATGATGCGTGCAAGGCATGATGCGTGCATGGCATGATGCGTGCAAGGCATGATGGGTGCAAGGCATGATGCGTGCAAGGCATGATGCGTGCATAGCATGATGCGTGCATGGCATGATGCGTGCAAGGCATGATGCGTGCAAGGCATGATGCGTGCATGGCATGATGCGTGCATGGCATGATGCGTGCATGGCATGATGCGTCCATGGCATGATGCACTAATCTATACGGGGGGTTCATTTCAGCAGAGAGCCTCGTCTTGCCCACACTATGGCCCCCCATCCCCCCCCCCGCATCCCCCCCCCATCCCCCCCCCCATCCCCCCCCCCATCCCCCCCCCCATCCCCCCCCCCCATCCCCCCCCCCCCATCCCCCCCCCCCATCCCCCCCCCCCCCCATCCCCCCCCACGCCCACACCATGCCTCCAACGCACCTTGAGCAGCAGCGCAACGTCCCCGGGAATGGTGGGCTCCTGCCCGGGATGGAAGGGGAACGTGCGCGCCTGCCCGGGGACACGAGGGGCAGCGTAGGGCGGGGCGGGGAGGGGAGGGGAGGCGGAGAGAGGGGAAAGGTTGAGCACGAGAGAGAGAGAGGGAGACGGGGAGTGAGCAGGACGCACCAACTGAAACCAGCTAAGCCCACACCAGCTCCCGCCATCCCTCTCACCTTCCACCCTTCTTGTTCTTCCTCTCACCTCCTTCCCCTCGTCCCCTGGTTTCTCCTCTCCCCTTCCTCCTCCCCTCTTCCCCTCCTCCTTCCTTCCCCATTCGCTCCCGTAACTCCCCATCCTTCCCCCTTTCGCCCTTTCTTCCTTGCCCCTTTTCCCCCCGCTTCCGTCCCCCGTTCCCCCCCACCCTCACGCGCGCACCTCCGCCTCATTGGCCCACACGTGCAGGTGCGCGTCCACCACGGGGCAGTGCGCGGGGAGCGGCGGAGGCGCGGAAGCCGCCGCCGCCTGCGCCACCACTGGGGGAGAGCAAGGGGAGCGGAAGGGGAGGCGGAAAGGAGAGCGGAAGGGGAGCGGAAGGGGAGCGGAAGGGGAGTGGCACGCAGGCAGGCGGAAGGTGGTGACAGCGCGATAAGTAGCCGAACGGGAAGCTAAGGACCGTTAAAGCTAAGGAGGGTGGGGGTCGCTGAAGTCAAAATAGCCACTTCCCGTCAACACGGTTGCTGGGGGTGTGGAGGTCAGGAGGTGGGACGACAGGTATTCGAGAGAGGAGAGAAAGGAGAGAGAGGACGAAGACGGTCGAGGGAGGAAAATCTGCGAGTTGCAAGCGAGGAGGCTTCAGCAATGGAGCGACACACACCCGCGCCGCGCATCGCGATCGTCGTCACCGGCGCCGATCGCCCTCCGTGCGACGACCAGCGACGTGGCGACGACGACGGCGACGACGTCAAGCAGCCTGGGGACACGGCGAGCAGCGGCGCGAGGCGTCCCGCACTAACAGCGAGCATCGCGGTTGGGTTCAGTACGGTGCGATGCGATCCGGTGCGGTCTGGTGCGGAGTCGGGCGCAGGCGGGCAGCAAAAAAATCAACTGTCTGAAATTCAGCCACTCCCCGTTTCTTTTCACGGGTTCATCAGAATTGGGTTGTGGTAAAAACTGGTTGTTTTGTCTCGTCTTGCCCAGACACACAAGACTGGAAATTGCTCGTCTTGGCGACACATGTGAGGCGAGGCCACTCAAAACACGCGGAGCAGAAGAAGAGTCCCCGCATACGACGCTGCCTTGTCGATCGCAGCACCCTTCGCGACGCCGCCACGAGCCACGTCACTCTCCCCAATGGATCTCGCCGCTTGGCAAAACACCGCGCAATTCGCTGCGCGGTTCGGCACGGCAGCTCGCGGGTTGCGCGGAGCCTTTCCGTTCCGCGCGCCTGCGGGAATTTCCGCGAGGAGGGGCGCTGGAGCGCACCCCAGCAGATGGCCAGCCTCGCGCACACGCGCGGAAGCGGGGAGCGCGACGGAAATGGCGGACGCGGAAGCGGCAGCGGAGGCAAAACCAAGCGACGCCGCGTGGCGCGAGGCGGCGCGGGTGGGGGAGGAGATTAAGGCGTGCTACGACGTGGTGGAGCGCATGGGGCGCGGGTTCGTGTACCTGGGGTCGTCGCGCGTGGCGGAGGACCACCCCTTCTTCCGCCAATCGCTCGCGCTCAGCCGCGAGGTGCGCGGAATGCTGGGGGGAAGGGGGGGAAGTTGGGCTGGGGGAAAGGGAGAGCGCGCGCCACTGCTGTGAGTCGCGCCAATGCTTGTTGTCCTTGTAACCTGTTCCGTGCCTTGAGGAAGGCCGTGGCTTGCAGGTTGCCTGCTGGAAAGGTGGGTTTGATTTAACCAGCCACTGTATGCCACGTGGCTTGCATTGTGTTAGCAACACGTATGTTATGCAGTCTGACGAGCTGTGCCACATGGCATTGTGTGTGAGGTGTTACACGGTGGCTCTACAGAATGGGAATTCATATGCTCGCATGGACGTGTGTCAGTTTGCTGCCATTGCGGGCCACGTGGCACTGATAGGCTGTACAGAACGCATAGCTGCCATTCCTCACGGCCACAACATGGCATTGCGTGCCACGGTGCAACCCATGTGCGCATTTACCCATGACTGCATGTATCCATGTGCGCATTTACCCATGACTGCATGTATCCATGTGTGCATTTACCCATGACTGCATGTATCCATGTGCGCATTTACCCATGACTGCATGTACCCATGTGCGCATTTACCCATGACTGCATGTACCCATGTGTGCATTTACCCATGACTGCATGTATCCATGTGCGCATTTACCCATGACTGCATGTACCCATGTGTGCATGACTCCATGCATGGAGGGAGCAGATAGCGGAGCAGTACAGCAGCACCACATGGTCGGGCATCGGGCCGGGCCTCATGGATGCTGTCGCCCTTGGTGCCGAAGCTGTCAACAGGTGTGGTGACCACATGCATGCCCTCTTGCTCCATGCATGCCCTCTTGCTCCATGCATGCCCTCTTGCTCCATGCATGCCCTCTTGCTCCATGCATGCCCTCTTGCTCCATGCATGCCCTCTTGCTCCATGCATGCCCTCTTGCTCCATGCATGCCCTCTTGCTCCATGCATGCCCTCTTGCTCCATGCATGCCCTCTTGCTCCATGCATGCCCTCTTGCTCCATGCATGCCCTCTTGCTCCATGCATTCCCTCTTGCTCCATGCATGCCCTCTTGCTCCATGCATGCCCTCTTGCTCCATGCATGCCCTCTTGCTCCATGCATGCCCTCTTGCTCCATGCATGCCCTCTTGCTCCATGCATGCGCTGCTGCTCCCGCTGCTGCCATACCCATGCATGCACGCACATCCTCTTCACTTCCTCCATAGACTTCCCCCTACTTCAATCTTGCTTGCTCTTTCGCTTCCCTCCCCAACCCCTCCTTCTTTCCCAGTGTCTCCCGTATTCTTGCCACCCCCCACCCTCTTCCCCCCAAACCCTACTTCCTGCCCTCTGCCTGTTCCCTCATGCATGCATCTACCCCCCACCTTACCCCCCTTGCCCCTCTCCCCGCCCACTTGCCCGAGCACCGTGCACAGGCCAGTGGCGGGCTTTAAGATAGTGTCTGAGGCGCGCCAAGCCCAGGCTGCCTTCGTGCATCCCAGGCTGCCCCCTCACTCCTATGTCACCTGCCAGTACGGCCGCTTGACACGGATCATTCTTACTTATTCCTACTTATTCCTCATGCATTATTCCTCATGCATTATTCCTCATGCATTATTCCTCATGCATTATTCCTCATGCATTATTCCTCATGCATTATTCCTCATGCATTATTCCTCATGCATTATTCCTCATGCATTATTCCTCATGCATTTCCTCATGCATTATTCCTCATGCATTTCCTCATGCATTATTCCTCATGCATTATTCCTCATGCATTATTCCTCATGCATTATTCCTCATGCATTATTCCTCATGCATTATTCCTCATGCATTTCCTCACAGCGCAAAGCTTCATTCATCTGCACTTGAACCATTTTCCAGCATTGAGAACCACTTGCTCCACGTGTGCTGCACTGTCGCTGCTCAACCACTCAGTGTCAGGAGTCAGGACCCAGTACCGTAGCAGAACCACACACAGCGCGACCATCTGTGCTTCTGTGTCCATGTGTTGCGCCGCATGTGCGGTGCCGTCGCAGGTCCGTGTTAGCTCGCAAGCAAGGCTTTCTCATGGCGGGGAGTCGAGCCACAGAGGCACATGTGGCAGGCTTCATTGCCCTGCCGGGCGGCGTGGGCACACTGGATGAAATTCTTGATTTCCTGGCGCTGCGGCAGCTGGGAGTAGGGGCAGGGGCACCAGGCCAAGGGTCTCTGGGTGTGAGCTCGAGTCAGAGTGTGTCGAGGAAACGGACACAAGGACTCCCGGTGCCGTTTCTGCTCATGGACTATGAGGGCTGCTACCAGCCGTTGCTGGCCTGCATGCAGGAAATGCAGCAGTGGGGATTGGTGGATGAAGGGGAGGTGGAGTCGCTTTGGCATGTTTGCACAAGTAATGACGAGGCCTTGGACTTCCTCCAGAAGTTTTATTGCTGATGGGACGTTTTATTGTTTAGCAATGTAACAATCCCAAGTGGGACATAGCAAAGGATCGTTCAAGGTTGATCACAGGGTAGTGTTGCAATGGAAGTGTTGACCTCAGATCAGAGTGAATGAAAATGACTGAGACTGATAATAGCATGCATACATCAAGGTTATATAGGAAATACAGAGGAATGCCAAGCGTCCTAGCTAGCCATGTACCACTCTAAGGGGTACATGTCAAAGTACAATCTCACTTGTAGGTTGTAGTGGGGCACTCCTTATGGGTTACAGCACTTCTAGGTTTAGTACTTGTACCCCAACTCTTGCTAATCCAATCATTCTTGCACAGTTATTCTGACATGGTATCAGAACATCAAGGGTGTCGCTCTTGCCAATGTCCACGAGCATCTGGTTGAGACCCACGTGTTAAGATAACAAGCAGGAATGAGAATAACAAAAGAGGGGTTTCACTGGCAAACAGTGGGATACATATAGCAAACCCTAACAGACCTGTACTCACTATAGAGTACCCAACTGCAGACTAGACAAATAACACATTCTGACATACCCCCATAGGCAAAGTGGGGTATGATCAGCACAGCAAGCAGTCACATAAAAAGTTCTCAAGCACCAAAAAAACTAGAGGCAGTCACAGAGGGCAAGTGAGGAGGAGGAGGGACGGTGAGAGGAGTGGAGATAGGAGGCAACTGCACCATGTGTGACTGAGTCAGTGTGATGGTGCGCTGTGCTCTGTCCCGGGTGATCTGCATGCCAAGGTAGCTGCGTAGCTCACCCAGGTCTGTGCACGTGTATCTCTTCTGCAGCTCCGACTTCACAAGGGCGAGAGCCTCAGTGTCAGCAGTGGCAAAGACCAAGTTGTCGACGTACACGAGGATGTAGAACGGCGACAACGAAGTGTCGGTGCGCAGAAACAGCGACGGGTCAGCAATGGAAGGTGCAAACCCAAGAGCCGCAAGTGTCGTCCTCACTGTGTCGTGCCACTCACAAGGCGCCTGACGGAGACCGTAGACTGGCCGGCGGAGGCTCCACTGGGTACCAGGAGGGAACGACCCAGTGAAACCAGATTGGGCGGCGTAGCCAGATCTCCTCGTGCAGACTGCCCTATAAGAACATTGTGCTGAAGTCCAGAGAGTGAAGCTCGTAGTCACGCTGAGTGGCGATGTGCAGCAATACCCGAAGAGTGGTCATCTTCGGGGTGGGGGAGAAGGTCTGGAAGAAGTCAACTCCCTGTCGCTGACTGAAGCCTCGTGCAACGTAACGAGCCTTGAAGATAGGAGGAGAACCCGGAGGCCGCTTCACCCTGAAAATCCACATGCCATCGACTACGTTCGCCCCAGGGGGGGGAACTGCATCGACGTAAGTGCCTGTGGACTTCCAGGATGCCATCTCTGCGTCCATGGCTGTCTGCCACTCAGAGTAGTACTCACCCGCGATCGCCTAAGCGTAAAACTGCGGGGTCGGGATGTCTGGAGCATTTGGGTCTCCCTCAGAGGCAAGCAGCATTGCCACGAGATGAGGCGCAGCGGCTGCAAGACACTCAAAGTCCTCCTGCCTGTCCTCAAGGACGTCCGTGCTAAGAGCACAGTCACCCCCGACGGACGGAGGACAGACAGACTCAGACTCAGCAACAAGACTAGCTACGAAGTCTAGACGACAAGCAGCAGCAAAGTCCACAAGCTCAGAGACTAAGGCAGACGCAGCAACAGACTCAAACCACGGGTCAGTGACAACAGTGGCTAGCAGACGCGTGACAGTAGGGTGAGCAGCACGAACCAGGTCACACTCAGGGTCGGGTCCGTCAGCAAGAGAGGACGTAGGAGGAGACGGTAGGGGAAGACGATGTGGAACAGAGGAAGGACGAAGCGCCATAGCGTGCGTGCCAAGGACAAGAGGCGGACGCTCACGAGGAACACGACGTGCGACACGCGCGAACATGCGAGGCAGGACGAGACGCAGGCTCACGACGCTCTATAAGCGACTCTGTCTGCTTAGTGTAAGGAGAAGGAGCAGGCAGTGGAGAGCCTGGCTGTAACGAGAGATCAGTAGAAGGCGGGAGGCTAAGAACCTGGCGAAGCGCGGAGTCATGCGGTGGCAGAGATGACGGTGACGGCGGATCGAAGAACAGTCGCGGCTGTGCAGTACCACCAGCACTAGTACCACCGGCACCAGCACCTCCAGGACGAGTACCAGCAGCTCCAGCGCCTCCACCAGCTCCAGAACCTCCAGCTCTAGCGCCTCTAGCTCCAGCGCCTCCAGCTCCAGTACCTCCAACTCCAACGCCTCCAGCTCCAGCGCCAGCGCCTCCAACTCCAGCGCCTCTAGCGCCAACGCCTCCAGCACCAGCGCCTCTAGCTCAACGCCCGCAGCACCACAAGCTCCGGCTGCTCCAGCACCTCCTGGACGAGCACCAGCAGCTCCAACGCCTCTAGCTGCTCCAGAAACTCGAGCTCCAGGGCCTCCAGCAGTATCACCCCCAAAACCGGCACCTCCAGCTCCAGGGTCTCCTACTCCAGGGTTGACAGGACCAGCTCCAGGGCCTCCAGCTCTAGTGCCTCCAGCAGCAGCACCCCCAGAACCGGCACCTCCAGCTCCAGGGTCCCTAGCACCAGCGCCTCCAGCTCCAGTGCCTCCAGCTCAGGCACCTCCAGTAGCAGTGCCTCCAACTCCAGTAGCGCGACTCTGAAGGCGGGTGCGCGAAGCAAGCCACTCACGCAGCTGCTGCGGCGAGAGAGGTGACCGCTGCGACGCGGCACCAGGAGGACCTCCAGCAGACTTAGCACCGCTAGGCTTAGCACCAACAGACTCCGTACCCCCGGGGCCAGCACCTTGAGCTCCAAGGTCTCCAACTCCAACGCACGGGTCTCCAGCTCCAGTGCCTCCAGTACCACGGAACCCGGTAGCTCGAGTACCTCCAGGACGAGCACCTCCAGGACCCTCAGCGCGAGCAGTACCAGCACCTCCAGCTCCAGCAGCACCACCCGTCCTAGCAGCTCCAGTACCTCCAGTACGAGCACCTCCAAAACCAGAAACACCAGCACTCCGAGCGCCTCTACGACGAGCAGCTCCAACCGCAGCACCTCGAGTTGCAGTACCTCCACCAGCAGGACCTCCAGCTCCAGCAGCTCGACTCCTCAGGAGGGTATGCCACGCAAGCCACTCTCGTAGCTGCTGTGGTGAGAGAGGCCCCCGTCGTGAAAAGAGACCCCCCAACTCAGCACCCCTAGATCCGGCACCCTCCGGCTCAGCACCCCCAGGCTCCGCACTCATAGGCTCAGCACCCCCAGGCTCCGCACTCGCAGGCTCAGCACCCCCACGCTCCGCACCCCCCAACACCTCATGCACAAGCTCAGCACCCCCATACGCAGTACCTCCAGCAGCACCACCCGCAACAGCACCTGAGTCGCTAGTGACCTCTACAGGCTCAGCCAAGGGGAGTGGGTCTACGTGAGACACACCTGAAGGAGCAGGACCCTGAAGGGGAATGGGGTCTATCGGAGGGGGACCTGGAGCGAGGAAAAGCGGCGGGGGAGGGAGGGGGGCAGTGCGGTAGGGGAAGAGATGGTAGAAAGGAACCGACTCGTTAAAGGTGACGTCCTGAGAGGGGAAGACACGGCGCGAGGGTGGTAAAATTGCCACCCAGGCGCGTCAGGGACAAAGCCAAGGAAGACACAGGGAATGGTGCGGGAGGAGAGCTTGGCCGCAGACGTATCGCAGACAAGGGCACGAGCACCCCAGACTCGGAAACGCGACGCATCACCAACCTCTCCCGTCCAACGCAGTGTGGGCGAGGTCTCCGGCAAGGAGACACGGGGCCAGAGGTTGAGCTGCTACGCGGCGTACCGGACCGCAAACGGCCATAGAAAATGGTGAGCCGCCGCATGAATCAAGGAGGTACGCGCGATCTTCATGACCAAGCCAATGCAGCGCTCGGCAACCCCATTTTGCTGCAGTGAGCCCGGAAGCGCGAATGACTTCTCGATGCCCTCCCCCTGACAAAAGGCCCGCAAGAGGTCGGAGGTGAACTCACCACCTCTATCAGAGTGCAGATGCAAGACAGGAAGGTCCTGGCGGAACCTGCGGTGGAGCTGAAGATGAACTGCTCGGATCCAAGGGATCAAGACAGCAGGGACCTCACCCTTGGTGCGCAAGGGGAAGACCGTGGTGTAACGCGAGTAGTCGTCGACAACTAGAAGAAAGTACCGCTCACCGCCCTGTCCATGAACGCGGGCTGGGGCCCACACGTCCAGGTGGAGGGTCCGCAGGGGAGCCTCTGTCGGGGGAAACGAGGAGGAGTGAGGAGCGGCGTGCTGCCGCCCCTCGACACAAGGAAAGCAAGGCGGCGCAAGGGAGGCAGGGAGGGGAAGGAGAGACCTAGGAAGACCAGACACAAGGAGGCGGCGGTGCATGCCACGGAGACGTAGCAAGGAGGGGTGACCTAGGCGGTGGTGGCAGAGAAGAGTCTGGTGCGACAGGGAGCGACATGAAAAAGGGGAGGCTACGTGACCTGACGCAGACACCTGACCAGTAGCAGCTACCTGAGGGGACGCAGTAGTCAGTGTGTAAAGACTCGACCCTGGCTGACGGGTGAACGTGGCCAGGTAACGGTTAGTCTGGGAACACGTACAGCACGCCACACGCTGTCCTCCAGGGGTAAAGGTATCAACCCATGCATCCTGGAGGACTGCGTTGCTCACCAGGTTCGTAGAGAACGAGGGGAGGTGAAGACCTGACATTGAGCCAGACGGAACCGCCGGGCACGGAAGCACAGTGGAGGACCGTGCAAGAACTGGGCCCCTTGAGGGGTCAGCCAGAGACACTGCAACAGGTGCAGGGAGTGGCATGAGTGCAGTACTATCATGAAAGAAATAGCGGGAAGCACCTGAGTCAAGCGTGAAGGTGTGCAAGGCCTCAGCAGGCGCAGTACCTGAGAGAGCAGAGTCGCTAGCACCTAAGGCAGCAGCCTCACTAGCACCTAGAGCAGCAACCTCTAT